TAGTGTTTGTTTAGCACATAGTCCTGGCTTCAACAAGAGAATGATAATTGCCTCAGCTATTCCTAACGTTTTAACTCGAACGGCCTTGGATTTGTTGTAAGACGCGATAAATGATACTGAAAGCCCGGGTTCGACTAAGTATGCAATAATCGAACTGGAAAGAACTCCGTTTCCTCCGTGTCTGAGCCATATGGGTTGATGTTCCTTGATCCGTTTAGATCGCTGCCTTGTAGTACGACCAAAGCAAATGACACCACAAATGCAATTGAATTGGTAACCCGTTCCTATCCGAACGAGAAAACAAACTTGTTTCTACCCCACGCTTTTGCTATGGTTATTTGAACGTGACTGTTTGACCCCAACTCAACACCCTTCCATTATTTTCTTAGATGAATGTGATTGTAATGGCTTGAGAACGAACTCATCGAAAACACGCGTGCCTACGATCCGTGTTCTGAATGCGACGATATTCAACATTATTGTTACGCCAAATTTTGTTCCCCAGGATACTGGTACATACACAAATTGGAATCTCAACTGTAGATTATAAAGAGTTTTAGGTGATGCACCGGAAGGACTTGATGCGGTACACAACACAGTAGAAAAAGATCACGGTCTACTACCGCGATTCCTTGGGAATCTCAATTTCTTCCTCTTGAAAATTTTCACTACTTACAGGTAGCTCGATTATATCTTCGTAAAAGGAAAATGTGTAATGGGCTACCGTCACGACGGTCAAGCAAACCAAAGGCGTTGTCGTAGTCAAGATAAATAAGGCGAACAGTTCCAGCACTCTTATCAAGAACTGAGGCCACAGAATGGACAACATACGCGTCAACAGTCAAAAGGGATTGTTTATAAGCAAGACGAAGAGGATCAAGCACGCCAGAGAGGGTAGTCAACGGCTTCAACAGCACTCTTTCAATAACTTTCAACAGGGCTGAGGTCCAGGCAAAGGGTCAATATATTCTGAAGAACCCTTCTTGGAAATGGGTCTTATTCGGACAGTCCTCCAGCAGTCCGGGATTGTTCCGGAGGACATACACAAATTGAACAACTCGACAACGGGTGTTGCAAGGTGATCGGCACAGGTTTTCAATAAAATGGAGGCTAATGAGTCCGGTCCGTCGGCGTTGTTTGGCTTAAGTTGCTTCAAAACTTTGAGAACCTCAGTTGGAGAAACAGGGTTGGTGTTTTCTGGGGAATTGTCGCTCTAATTCTTCTACGCCAGGGCAGGAGTTCCCATAAGTGTCACAAAGTTGCTTCAACGCCAACCACATCTCGCGACAGCTCTGGTGACCCAGAATGGTCTCGACATACATCGAACTCAAGGGCTGAACCTCTGTCTTGATGATAATCAATAGCCGTTTAACAACGTAGCGACTGCCATTCATATATGCCTTTTCCTTATCACGTCGAAGACGTTTTAGAAGAGGCTAGGAGAATGTTTCAGTGCGGATGTATGTGGTCTCGACAGGGCAAATTAAGATTGCCGGTGAAATGTTCGCATCTGGAAGAATTATTGGAATTGCAGAAAACAGAAAAATCGGTTGAGATCATATATTGGAGTCGAGATAAGTTATCATGGGTACAATTCTTCCTTAGTATTATTCGGGATGCTACCTGTGCTTGTTGAAGATGAAACATTTTACCATAGTTTTTAGGGTGCAAAAGAATCGCGCAGTGATCGGACGTGCTAATAAGGACTCGTGTTTTCCATAAAGAAGAAATTTGGGATATTTACAAAAATATCGTCAAGCTGAGCCGCCAAACGATCACCTCGAAATATATTGAATCCATCAAGCCGAACAATAAGTAGCCCGATTATACCTTTAGAAAAGGAAATGTGTAAAGTCAAAGTAAAATATTGCATACGATGTCACATTTTCCGTGAATTTTGTGGATAACCCAGTCGAAGAAGCAAACACTGAAATTACGAACGCGTTTCACGCTTCGAACACACTTGCCAGGAATCCTACACTTGTTCTGTTTCTACTATTCACCAACAGCGATACCTGTGAACCCAATTACCCAGCCCCACCCTTCCCCCTGACTGATAGCTTTCATTCCGAAGCGTGACCAATACGGGCTAGATTGACCGGCTATTCGCAAAAATCATACAGTGCCGCGTCGAACCGCATTGCTGCACAAGTTATCAGAAGAGTCTGATCAAAGTTAACCAGGGAATATTAATTCAGTCGTAGATCAAACCACCACAATCACTTATAACGCCAAATTACTTCTTCTTACGATCGTTGTTGTCCATCGTTAATATTACTGCACAAATCCACCAAGATTGGGGGCAAACTTTCTTGCGTTTTTTGTTCCAAACAAGGAAAATGAAGTTTTTTAGATGGAAATGTCTGGTCCGGCACGCGGTCGACAGCGACCGTCGGATCACACGAACGTGGAAAACAAATGCGTTTAGATGGAAGAACAATCAGCTCGCATTTCATATATCTGGTGAGGTTGTATACATCTCCGGAACATTGAAGACTAGACCCAAAAATCTGTCATCATTGTGCATCTTTTTCATACCCCTGGTAAGCACTCATTTTTGCTTTGCATGATTTACATACAGTACTGGCACTGTAGTTCGCTGTACAACAGCAATGATGAACAACAGCTGATTAGGAAACGTGCAAAACGGGACAGCAGTACCCCACA